GGGCGGCGCAGGGACCGCGTCTGGGGCGGCGTAGGGGCCGCGTCAGGAGCGGCGCAGGGGCCGCGTCAGAGGCGGCGTAGGGGCCGCGTTAGGGGCGGCGTAGGGGCCGCGTCAGGGGCTGCGTAGGGGCCGCGGCAGTGGCGGCGTAGGGGCCGCGTCAGGGGCGGCGTAGGGGCCGTGTACGGGCAGCGTAGGGGCCGCGTCAGGGGCGGCGCAAGGGCCGCGTCAGGGGCGGCGTAGGGGCCGCGTTAGGGGCGGCTTAGGGGCCGCGTCAGGGGCGGATTAGGGGCCGTGCAGGGGGCCACGTAGGGGCCGGGTAGGGGCCGCGAAAAAATTTAGGGCAGGGCGCGACGCGCTTCGGGCAGCTAAAAAAAAAGTTACTTATGGTGGGCCCTTAGGAAGGAACGGTCCCATGTGGGAACCCGCTCTATACCATGTGAAGAATGAAACAGGAATGAATGAACTAGGAAACAGTTGGGTACAAGTAGGAAAGCCTAGAAGTGTTGTACCCCATATTGTCTAACCCACTACAGCCTACACAGACTATAGCATATAAGTTTGACACTGTTGCGGACAACATATGTGCTCTTCAGGACGCTTTGTTCAACGTGAACACCAACTTCAACGCGAGGTCGTCATCACCGTCGCCAACAATCAGAATCTGCGCACACGACGACAAGGCGTAGTGCAACTTCAGTCACGAGAAACAAACGTCATACTGCAGATGTCTAAGGTTTTAATAGCAGAAGGGCTCGGCTACAACTTACTGAGCATCAGTCAACTGATGGAGAAGGGCATACACCTCGAAGCAGATAGCACCACCCAGGAGTTCAAGTTGTACCACGGGAGAGGAGGCCTCTACATCGGCAAGGCAGTTCTGAAGAATAACGTCTTCGTTCTCGACTTCGTCCCAGATCTCGGCACCGCTGACAGCGACGGGATCGTCACCTTCACCTCCTGGACACACCCACCAGTTCTTGACCCCGACTTCAGTCCAGAAGGCTTCTGGTACTTGCACACCATTCCTGAAGCAGAACGAACAAGAGCGTTAGCAACAATTCAACAAACATTGGCAACAGCAGAGACAACATCGGCAGCAGCAGAGACAACATCGGCAGCAACAACGACAACATCAACACCAATCGTTGGTCCTTCAACGGCACCGATCGACGACACTTCACCAACTCCTACGCAGCAACTGAACCCAACTCAACGGGAAGTTCATCGAAGCGCCAACTTCATCGCCAGTTTTTACTCCAACTCCGACCTGTATCGGCGCTCACCCGGACTTCGCGCCACCGAAGACTTCTGGCACGCACGAATGGGACATCCAAGCAACACAGTGTTAAACAACACAATCAGAGCTGGCGTGCTTGATAAAAATTCACTGCTCCTAACCGACGGAAGCGAACTTCGACGAGCTCGCGGAACGTGCTTTACCTGCCCCGAAGCTGACTTGCCACATCGGCCGTTCACTTCTCACCACAATCCAAGCGCACCAGCTTACACACCACTCGAGAAAGTGTACAGCGACATTCTGTACAACCGCGAACCTAGACAAGGAGCATACAGCTACACCATCACGTTCATCGATGCCGCTACACGTTATGTTTGGCACCTTAACCTTCCAAGCAAGGACATGGCCTTCGAGGCCTTCATCGCTTGGCTCCCAGTAGCAGAACGAGAATCGGGCGTGAAACTAAAAAGCTTCCAGTCAGACGGAGGAGGAGAATACACCTCACAGAGGTTCAAGCAGTACTTGGCAGAAAGAGGGATCAAGAAACTCATCTCCCTTCCCTACGCTCACCAGCAGCAAGGCGTAGCAGAAAGGATGAACAGGACTCTCCAAAACACCATGCACAAGTTGCTACGAGGCATGCGACTGCCCAACCACCAGTGGCCCGAAGCAATGGACCACGCTGTCATACTGCACAACTTGCTCTCGTCATCATCGCTCCCGAACAACGCATCACCGCATCTGCTGTGGACAGGAAAACAAGGCAGCACAAAAATGTTAAGAGTTTTCGGCCGCATGGTACAGTACCGACCTCCATCTGCACGAGCCGACCGATTCTCCCAACGCGCACAGTGGGGACTACACCTGGGCATCGAAAGAAATTACAACGCGTGGAAGATTTTCGACGTCCACTCCAAGGAAACAGTAACAGCACGTGATGTCATTTTCTACGAACGACTCACCCTTCCGACGTACCTTGCCAACTTGGAAGAAGATCGGGACCCCACAGGTGGCTTCCGTGGTGACCGAGCCTTCGCCTCGACAGCAGACGAAGCTGACTGGGACGAGCAGAACGTGGATGCAGCCTCGGAGGAAGCCGGACCTCTCCCTTACTGCTCCGTCGACGTCCCAATGGATGACAAAAATCCTCGCGAAAGCGCCAACACCGAAGTATTTTACCACTTCGCCGACAATGGTTAGGTTACACCTGCAGAAGTCAACACCAACGAAGCAGAACGCATAGGGCCCAACTTCATACCTGACCCAGAAGCAGGTGACGAAGCAGCTTATCCCGCGGACACAACACTCCCCCGCTACACACAGAGTGGCCTCCAGATACTCGGCCTCGTCACCGCGGTCCACGGCATCGCGCTTCCTAAGGAGCCTGCCACAGTTCAGCAGGCTCTGGGGGGGGAACATAGGGAAAAATGGCGTGAAGCCATGGACAGGGAACTGAAAGCACTGGAGGAACGTAACACCTGGAAAGTCGTTCCCATCGGCGTGGCACGAAACAAGACAGTACTCACCGGGAAATGGGTCTTCCGTGTGAAGACAAAAGCAGATGGCACCATCGATAAGTTCAAAGCACGCTGGGTTGTACGCGGCTTCGACCAAGAACATGGACGCGACTTCACCGAGACATTCGCCCCGGTCAGTCGACACACCTCGCTGCGAATTCTCCTCGCAATCGCTGCCATGAAGAAGAAGAAACTGCGGCAAATTGATATCGCCAACGCATTTCTCTACGCACCTGTCAACGCAGAAATCTTCGTCGAACTACCACATGGCTCCAACGAAGAACCTAATCACATCTGTCAGCTGCTGAAGTCATTGTACGGCATCAAACAGGCTCCGAGACTGTGGCAGCAGTACCTACACGCTCGACTTACTCGCATCGGATTCCGGCAGCTACCGCACGACCAAGGCATGTACCGGCTCACGAAAGGCGACGACTATATTCTACTAATCGTCTACGTAGATGATCTACTCTACATCGGGTCGACCGACAACGTCACTACCTGGTTCGAAGGGGAGTTACAGAAAGACCTCACGCTCACAGTCTCATCTACCGTCACACAGTACCTCGGCCTCAACATCCAGGAAGAAGAAAGCGCGATCTACCTCAACGCCGCAAAATATGCCGACACCATCGCCAAACGCTTCGCACTCACGCCAACTACCATCTCCACGCCATACCGCTACACGGCAGGAAGTCACAAGGAAGACTCCACTCCACTCAAGCCTGCCAAGATACGCGACTACCAGAGGAAACTGGGATGCCTTCTCTTTGCGGCTGTCACCTGCCGCCCGGACCTATCATACTCCGCAAGTCAACTCGCCACCTACCTCAAAAGACCTGAAGCTGAGCACATGACGGAACTCGACCGCGCTCTTCTCTACCTCGTTAGCACTCCAACGATCGGCCTGACCTACTACAAGAATAGAACTACAACGCCCAAGTTAATCGGCTACGTCGACGCCGACCACGCCGGAGATTCTGACAACAGGCGCTCGCGCACAGGCTACATCTACCGCCTCGAGCCTATCGGACCTATCTCGTGGCAGTCGAATAAGCAGGAATTAATCGCTCTCTCCTCAGCCGAAGCAGAATATATCGCACTCTGCTCAGCCACCAAAGAAGGATTGTACCTTTGCGAACTCCTGGAGGAGGCGAAGCTGGCTCAGTTACCCAGCTTCTCCCTGTTCTGCGACAACCAGTCGGCAATTCGGATAGCCAACAAAAACGGATTCGCGAACAGGACGAAGCATATCGCCCTGCGATATTTCTTCGTGAAGGACGAGATCGAGAAGGGGAGACTTGAGATATCTTACTGTCCCACGTCCGAGATGGCAGCTGATTACTTGACCAAGAAACTCGGAAAACAGAAGTTTGAGTACTGCATGCTGCTGACTGGACAGAGCCACGTCACCAGCAGCGACACTCCAGAAGCGAAGGGGAGTGTTGGAAACAACTGATTTAAGCGCCTCTGTCGCGTCGAAACACCAAGTCAGAAACGAAACAGAACATATCGAAGCATCAGCGAGTCAACCCTCGGAGGTTGAACAACTGCTGGAGGTTACACGAAAGTCAAAGGTCAGCGACCTTTGACCTGACAAGTACAGCGCGACAGCAAGGACAAACAACTGACTCGCTATTGAGCAGTTGCCCGAGTCGTCACTGTATCGAACCGCAACAGCAATGGTAAAACGGTTATTAGTTATAACTCTTCATATTCCCTTGTATTCTTATAAAAGCTTGTATCTCTTTGCTATTAATCAATCTACTTTGCCCTCACATACCAGCGCAAGGTGGTTCACAACCTTTCATTAAAACGCTTCCGCTAATACACCAGTCCTACCAGGAATTTACTCCTGCAAAGATCCTAAGGGCCTTTTTCAGCCCAACATATGGCACAAATGTCCCCGCAAGAATGTACCCTGATTCTTTGCAGCCTAGTAAGTTCCAACAGGGTAACTTGGGGTGAGAGTGGGGAGGAGGGGGGGGAGGAGAGGGTGGGCACGAATCTGCAGACAAGTTTGAGAAACAAATGGTGATTGCCATCCAAGCATCTGTGCATGTGCAGCACATCACATCCCCACCACCGCCAGCACAATGCTTGCTTCCCAACAAGCCTCTATCCAATGAGCTGAGAAGCACAACAATCAATCAAACTAGCCCCTGACCTGACATGGCCACACCCCTGCTCTCCCTCTCTCCCCCAACCCACCATCATCCACCCAACCCACCCCCGCCCACCCCCCATCACCGCTGCACGATCACGGAGTTCACCAGACCAGCAGCCGCAATCGTCTCGCTCTCATCCTCCAGCCGCTTCGGCGGGAACCCCATGGTCTGCAGCGAGTAGCGCCGCCCGCCGCTGCCGCCCGGGCGGGCGGCGTCGATGAAGGCGCGGATGTGGGCGACGGTGTGCGAGTGGTTGAAGCGCGCCACCAGGCGCGTGCCATCCGCCAGGCGCACCTGGATGGACGTCACTGCCTGCGCCTCGTCCACCTGCAAGCCTGCACAAGGGGGAGGGGAGGGAATGGGGGAGAAGAGAAGGTGGGTATCAAGGTGGGGGTACGAGGGGCGGGTGGGAGGGTGAGGAGACGCGTGGCGTGCGGAGGAGGGCAGTCAGCAGAGGGGGGTGGCGGTGGGGGCTTGAGGTGTGGTACTGGGAGGCAAACAGGCATTCACATGTGGAGGGACGAGCAGCATGCTCAGGTTGGCAGTGCATGTTCAGAGCAGCCGCAATGCCAAAGTGCGCGTAGCAAGGCACAACGAATGGTGGCAGGAGATAGTGGCGGAGGGCAAGTTGGGGAGGGAGGACGAGTCTGCAAGCGGGTGGCGAGTTGGCGAAGAGAGGATGAGGAGCAGCAGTGAAGGGCGGAGGGTGAGAGGGGGAGCAGCGGGTGCAGGGCGACAAGCATGTCACCTCCAGCAGGGGCCTGTGGGTTGGTGGGACCAGTCGCAGTAGCAGCAGGGGGTTGTGGTGGCGGCTGTGAATCGGAGGCAGCAGCGTCCCCCAGCGTGCGGCCCTGGCCTGAGAACGCCACGTACTTGGGCTCTGGGGGGGGCTGGCGGAGTGGGGGGGGGGCGGAATGAGGGGGGGGAGCAGCAGAATGCGAACAATGTGGGAGGTGAGGACAGAAGTCATGCCCGCATTCCTCCCATGCCCACATCCCCTCTTATAAAACATACACAGTGACTGTCGACACTACAAAACAGGGCAGTTCCAATCTCAAATACATGCAGTGACTCTCGCGCCTCTCCCGTCCCCCATTCCTCTCCTTGCTTTCCATCTCCTCACCAGATTCATCCCCGATCCCCAACCCCCACCCCCACCTCTCCCTCACCACCTCTCACCCTTCCTCCCCATCTCCCACCGTTCCCCCTCTCCCCGTTCCCTCCCCCTCCTTCGCACCGTCCATTCGGAGTTGTTGCGCAGCAGGTTGAGCTCCACGTCCTCCAGGGGGTCCGCGCTCTGCAGCTCGCGCGGACATTCGCCGCGCTCCAGGATGCTCTGGGGGGGACGGAGGGTGCATGGGGAGAGAGAGAAGGGACAGACGGAGGGTTTGAGATGAGGGGGCGAGACGAGGGATAGGAAAGAGGGGGTGAGCAGTGGTTGAGACGACGAGGAGCTGAGAGGAAGGGGTGAAAGGGTGGGTCGAGAGGAGGGGGTGCGGCTGGGAGGTTGAGTGGTGGAAGGGAGGAAGCAAACGACAAAGGTGCACTCACTGCCTTGCAGGTAGCTCCGAAATAAAGAACGAAAGAGCACAAGAAATGGAGTGAGAGGTGAGGAGGCAGGGATGGCAAGGAGGGGAGGGAGGAGCGGACGAGCATCAGAGGTAGAAGTGGCAGCATACACTGGGAAGAGGGGGTTGGGGGTGAAATGGGAGTGAGAGGGAACACCAGTACAGCAGTGGAGCAGGGGAGAGGAGCCGGGAGAAAGGGGCGGAGGTGGGTGGGCATTGCGAGCTGTGTTGCAGAAGACGCATGGGGTGTTTTTTTTCCGGTCTGACCGAAAAAAAAAATTGCCCGCGCGCGAATTTGACATTCGCGATTTCGATGCCAATGTCGAAATCGCGAAATTCCCCCCCCCAAACAAAATCGACCGTCAAAACCGCACAAGATCTACTCAACCCAACCACAATTGCATACCACCAAGGGTATATTGGAGCACAAGTGCTTCATTTGTGCTTTTCAACCAAATTCTCCTCGGAAAACCCTAAGGGGTTTAGCTCTTAGTAGACCTAACTTATGGCTTCTCCTAGTTCTTCCTCCATCTCCTTGTATGTGACGTGGTGAAACTTCTCCTTAGGGGGAAAACACTTGGTAAGGGAAAAAAATTGGCTGAAATATGAATTATGTAAACCCCCCCCCCCCCCCCCCATGCCCCATTGGGGTTTTTTTTGGGCCTGCCCGAACCTTTTTTGGTCTGCCCGGGCTTGCGTCTAAAAAGGCCCAAAAATGCGTCTTGTGTCCTGGACGCAGCGTCTAGACACACTGCGTCCAGGACGCAAGACGCGTCTTCTGCAACACAGGTTACGAGGAGGCAGGGCGCAACAGGTGGGTGGGGTGGAGGAGCAGCGCTGCGGGTGAGCAGTGCAGTGGTTGGTCAGTCTCAAAGGACAGGAGGCGGAGGGACGGGGGGGGGCACACCTTGAGGAAGGCGGCGTTGGCGGGGTCCTGCAGCTGGCGCAGAGGCCCCTCGTCCACCGTGAACCCGTTCAGGTAAAATGTCACTGTGTGCCGCACCACCCGCCGCCCGCCCTCCCCCGCCATCGCCTCCTGCCCCTGCCCCTGCCCCTGCCCCGTCGCCGCTTCCGCGCCCGCACCTCCCCCTGCCCCCTCCCCGCCTGGGCCCCCCAGCGTCCTTCCCACTCCGCTGAACGCGCCCGCGCCTCTCCGCGCGCCCCCGCCTGCGCCTGCGCCCGCGTCGAGGTCCGCGGAGGTGCCCTGGCGCGCGCCCTGCTGCTGCGCGCGCGCGAAGATGTCATCCACGTCCAGCGCGCCCCCGCCTGCTCCCCCCCGCGCCGCCATTCCGCCCGGCCCCCTGCGCTTGTTGGGGTCCTGCACCGCTATTCCGCTGATGAGGGGGGGAGGGGGGGGTGTCAAGGGGGGGTGAGGGGGATGGTGGAGGGAAGGAATTGAGAAGGACTTTAAGGGCAGCAGAAAATGAGGAAGACTGAATGAGGATTGCACAAAGTTTAGAGGGGAAGGGACAATTTAAGAAAAGCGATGCGAGAGGGGTGGGGTGGGGGATGGGAGGAAGGGGGGGGGGGGGGGTGGGTTGGGGGTAGGTGGGAGGGCACGAAAGGGCGGGTACAGAGAGCGAAGTGGGGCACGGGGAGGGAGGGAGGGAGAGAGGGAGGGAGGGGCGAGGGGGTTCGCATGCACAACAAATGTAAAGCCGAGAGGTGGCGAAAACACAAGGCCCACAAGGGCAACGGCAGGCAAGTTCGTGCGCACCTCTTCTCCCCCCCGGCATAATACTCCTCTCTGTCGTCGTCATCCTCATCCTCGTAATCCTCATCGTCCTCCTCCTCATCCTCGTCCCTCCGCCTCCCGATATCCCCCAGCGTCCGAATCCGCCCGCCTCCCCCTCCCCCGCCGCGCCCCGTTCTCTTACTCCCCTTCCCCTTCCCCACTCCCCCCACAAATCTTCCAATTCCGCCAGTTCCCCCCCCCGCCCCTGACGGTCCCCCGATGGGCGCAGTCACCCGCGGCTGCCGCTGCTGCACCTCCTCGCCGCCCTCCTCCGCGCCTCCCGCGGAGAACATCGCCTGTGACGTCATCGCGGGATTCGTGGGGCCACCTACTGCCGCCCCGCCCGCACGCGCTGCTGCCGCCGCCGCCGCCGCAGCACGCGGATGGCGCGGCGGCGCGGCGGCGACGGCCGCGGCGACGCCTCGGCTGCCTGTGTCGTCGCCGTCGTCCCCGGAGGCACCGCCGGCGGCTGCGGCGGCAGCGGCGGCGTCCCCGCCGTGGTCGTAGAAGGCGGAGATGGCGGCGTCGAGCGCGCCGGCGCTGCTGTCGAGGAAGAAGCGCGCCTGGTCGGGCGCCGCGCCCGTGATGGCGCAGAAATTAGAGACGAGATCGTCGTCTGGCGCCGCGGACGACGACATGGCTGCGGCGAGGGTGAGCTGGTGCGGGGAGAGGCGCAGTGGGGGAAGAGAGACAGATGCGGGAAAGGGACAGAGTGGGGAAGGGGAGAGACGGGTGGGGGGGGGGGAGAGTTGAGAGCGGTGACAGAAGTAACGGCACGAGGGGCGGGACAGTGGCGTCAGGAACCCGGCCCGGCGGGCGAGGGGACGGCGCGTGGAAGGTGCGGATGTGCGAAGGTGTGCGGAAGAAGGGAGGCAGGGAATTGAACGTGTTGGTGGGTGCGGCTCAAGGGCTGTTTGTAGATCGGACCAGAAGCGAGATTCGAAAAGCAGCGTGCGCCGACGACGCGAGGAGCACGTGTGGCATCATAAGTGGGGCATCGGGGACCGACGATAAACACGGTTTGGGGCTGCAGCAAAATCAGATCCCAACGGATCTCATCAGTCGCGACATCCTGGTCATCGCTCCAGATTGGCCGGGCATAATCCGCACAGGCGAATCCCGTCGCCGCCAGACCCCGCCGCAGTCATCGACGGGCTTAAGCGCTGCGACTTTTGAGTCGACTCAAAATTCACCTCAGTGGGTGCACGGGCTTAAGCGCGGCGAAGGGACGGGCAGATTGACGGCAAGCACGCACCGCGCGCACGGCACTAAAGTACAAATCATCGAGGGATGAAGTGAGGTCCAGGAGACGAACGAGTCGGTAGGGCGTGCGAGCTCCACGCGTGGAAGGCGCAGGCATGGCGAGGCTACGACGTACCTGGGGCGATCGACTCTCGGTTCTATTGAATCCTTCTGAGTCGACTCACAAGTCGCGACATACCTGTGAGGGGTGGCCAACTAGAGCCTAGTGAATCCGCTGCCGAATCTAGCGCACCCACGCAGACGAGGAATCTTTCGCTGGCACGACGGTGAAGAGTGCAAGATGTGGCAGCTCGAGCGGCGTGGAGCCAAGGAATTTGAAGCCTAATCGGTAGTAGCTAGTGATACACTGCGGGTGGAATCGGCCAGTAACCTCCAGTCAGATCCTGCTGTGCTGTGCCATGCGAGTGTTGCTTGCCTTGGCTCTCACTCCAGCAACCTCCACGCGCTGCATTGCTTCCATCGGCCGACACAAACAGGGAGGGGATGACGCGCTATAGCGCTTCGTGAACGATCAAGACTTGGAACTGTGGTTATTCCAAAATTAATCTATGATGTAAGAAAAACGAGCACTTGTTTTCCAACTACAGGAGGCAAGCATCTCATATGGGCTTCAAAAGCTGTACATTGAAGCACACACATTTTAACAAGCATGTGCAGCCCACGGCACCAGCAGCAGTGTTGCGATCAGATGTTGATCGTACCTAGGATCACCTCAGGAAGGTTCGCACACGTCTGAGTAGTGGTGGGCCCTTGACCTCAATAGCAGAGTGGATGTAAAATGCTTGAGATCATAATAACATGTGAATACAGGAATATAAATAAGAGTACAAGGGAATTCGAATCGACCTAGGCTAGCCATGTACTCTAAGGGGTACATGTCAAAATATGGAACGAGAATTATTGGATTGAACAGAAGTTTGGTACAAGTACTAACCCTAATTGGGTTGTACCCTTTATGGGCTACCCCACTATAGCCTAAACAAAGTGAGCACTATAACAGTTTTGACACACCCCCATAGGCAAAGTGGGGGAGACTAAGTGGTCACAAGACCAGTCAAGAAAAGCAAAGCAAGCTCAGGGTGGATCACGAAGTCACCACACAGTCCGAGCACAAACAAAGGGCCACAAGGCCAAATCACATGCAGAGTTATATAAAAGAGAACAAACAATACAGTGATCATGCCCTAACAAGTGTAAGCATGCAGGCATATATATAGATCACAGTACAAGTAAACTCACGCAGTGAGCAAGTGAGGCAAAGTAGGCTCAAGTCCTAACACAGTAGAGAAGCGCTGATGATCACCAGGCGGAAGTGCCTTGGTGAATATATCAGCAGTGTTGGCCCTAGTGGCCACGTACGCAAGACGAAGCTGGCCACGCTGCTGCAACTCTTGAGGAAGGAAGTATTGCAGAGCGATGTGCTTCGTTTTGTGCTCCAGTTTGTGCTCCTGACACAAGGCAATCATGGCCTTGTTGTCTACATACAGAACTGGAGGCGAACCAGGCTGCTCTCCCAAGTCAGTCAGCAGGTAGGTGAGCCAGCGTAGCTCCTGTGCAGCCATGGCCCCTGCGTAGATCTCACCCTCACAACTGGAGCTGAGAACCGAAGACGAGCGGGTAGACCGCCAGGAAACAGAGCCGGAACCGAGGCTGAAGGTGTAACCCTGTGACGACCGCTGCGTAGCTGAGTCGTCAACCCAAGAAGCGTCTGCGTGACCAGTGAGGACAACTGGACCCCGTCCTCCAAGCACGAGCCCTATGCCCGAAGTACTGCACAAGTAGCGCAACACCCTCTTTGCGGCCTCCCAGTGCTCTGGTCGGTGGCTCTCCGGCGCAACGTAGCGTGCCAGGATGCTAAGAGGGTAGGCAAGGTCAGGTCGAGTGTAGCCCACAAACTCTGGATACGGGCCACTCGGCTCTACAGACTCGTCCGAAGGTGGAGCTGAGAACGAGTGACCGGTAGGCAAAGGAGTGGACTGTGGCGAGGAGTACCGGAAGCCGAAGCGCTGAAGGACCTGGTGCACCATGTGTGACTGAGTCAGAATGATGGTGCGCCGTGCTCTGTCCCGGGTGATCTGCAAGCCAAGATAGCTGCGCAGCTCACCCAGGTCAGTGCAGGTGTGTCTCTTCTGCAGCTCTGACTTCACAAGGGCCAGTGCCTTAGTGTCAGCAGTGGCAAAGACCAAGTCGTCGACGTATATGAGGATGTAGAACGGCGGCTGCGAAGTGTCGGTGCGTAGAAACAACGACGGGTCAGCAGTCGAAGGAGCAAACCCAAGAGCCGCAAGTGTCGTCCTCAGTGTGTCGTGCCACTCGCGAGGCGCCTGACGGAGACCGTAGACTGGCCGCCGGAGGCTCCACTGGGTACCTGCAGGAAACGACCCAGTGAAGCCAGGTGGGCGGCGCAACCTGATCTCCTCGTGCAGGCTGCCCTGCAAGAAAGCTATGCTGAAGTCAAGAGAGTGTAGCTCGTAGTCTCACTGAGCTGCAACGTGCAGCAACACCCGAAGAGTGGTCATCTTCGGGGTAGGAGAGAAGGACTGGAAGAAGTCAACTCCCTGTCACTGACTGAAGCCTCGTGCAACGTAACGAGCCTTGAAGACAGGCGGAGAACCCGACGGCCGCTTCACCTTTAAAATCCTCATGCCATCGACTATGTTCGCCCCAGAAGGGGGAACTCCGTCGACGTAGGTGCATGTGGACTTCCAGGATGCCATCTCTGCATCCATGGCTGTCTGCCACTGAGAGGAGTAGGGAACCGTAATCGCCTCTGCGTAAGAGCGCGGGGTCGGGATGTCTGGTGCATCCGGGTCTCCCTCAGAAACAAACAGCATAGCCACGAGATGAGGTACAGCAGCTGCAAGACACTCAAAGTCCTCCTGATTGTCCTCAAGGACGTCCGTGCCAAGAGCACACTCACCCTCGACGGACGGAGGAGAGGCAGACTCAGACTCAGCAACAAGAGCAGTGGCATAGTCGAGATGACAGACGACAGCAAAGTCAACAAGCTCAGCAACTAGGGCAAACGCAGCAGTGGACTCAAAAGAAGGGTCAGTGACAACAGTGGCTAGAAGACGAGGGACAGTGGGACTGGCAGCACGATCTAGGTTAGACTCAGGGTCAGGAACGGCAAGAAGAGAGGACTCAGGAGGAGGCGGCAGGGGAACTCGAAGTGGAACAGAGGAAGGACGAAGTGCCATAACGTGCGTGCCAGGGACAGGAGGAGGACGCGGATGAGGAACACGACGACCAGTGTGAACAGTGCAAACAGGTGATGCAGGACGAGACTCAAGCTCACGACGCTCTGTAAAAGAGTCTGTCTGCTCAGCGTAAGGAGAAGGAGAAGGCAGTGGGGAGTCTGGCTGTAACTGTGGCTGCGACTGGCAAGGCGGGGGACTCAGTAAGCTAGGAGGAAGGCCAATAGAAGACGGGAGACTAAGAACTTGGCGAAGGACCGAGTCAGGGGGCAGCAGAGACGACAGTGGCGGCGGAACGAAAAACGGTCGCCACTGCACAGTGCCTCCAGGACCAGTACCGCCAGCTCGCACCCCCAGCTCCAGCACCTCCAGCTCCAGGGTCTCCAGCTCTAGTGCTTCCAGCTCCAGCGCCTCCAGCGCCAGTGCCTCCAAATCCAGCGCCTCCAGCGTCAGGGTCTCCAGCTCCAGCTCCTCCAGCTCCAGCGCCGCCAGCGCCAGCTCCAGAGTCTCTAGCTCCAGCGCCTCCAATGCCAGTGCCTCGAGCTCCAGCGCCTCCACTGCCAGGGTCTCCAGCTCAAGCTCCTCCAGCTCCAGCGCCGCCAGCGCCAGTGCCTCTAGCTCCAGTGGTTCCAGCTCCAGCGCCTCCAGTGCTATAGTCTCCAGCTCTAGCTCCTCCAGCTCCAGCGCCTCCAACACCACCAGCCCCGGCAGCTCCAGTACCTCTAGTACGAGCACCTCCAGGACCAGCAGCTCCAGCACCTCCGGTACCTCCAGCTCCAGCAGGAACTCCAGCACCTCCAAGACTAGTACCTCCAGCACCTCCAGCTCCAGTGCCTCCAGCGGCAGAGCCTCCAGCTCTGGCAGCTCCACTCCTAAGGCAAGTGAGTTGAGCAAACCACTCGCGCAGCTTAGACGCGGAGAGAGGCTCCCGCCGGGGAGACAGTCATGGCGAGGCACCCGCAGGACCTCCAGCAGATGCAGTACCCCTGGGCTCAGCACCCCCAGACTCCGCACACTCAGACTCAGCACCCCCAGGCTCCGCACCCCCAGGCTCAGCACCCCCAGGCTCCGCACCCTCAGGCTCAGTACCCCCAGGCTCCGCACCCCTAGGCTCAGCACCCCCAGACACCGCACCCTTAGACTCAGCACCCCCAGGCTCCACACCCCCAGGCTCAGCACCCCCAGGCTCTGCACTCGCAGGCTCAGCACCCCCAGGCTTTGCACTCGCAGGCTCACCACCCCCAGACACAGCACCTCTAGCACCACCTGAGTCTACAGCGACCTTGACAGGCACAGTCCCGGGGAGTGGGTCTACCTAAGACACACCTGAGGGAGCAGGACCCTGAGGCGGGAGGGGGTCTACCGGAGGGGGGCCTGGAGCAAGGAGCGGTGGGGTTGAGAGAGGGGCAGAGCGGTAGGGGAAGAGACGGTAAAAGGGAACCGACTCGTCAAACGTGACGTCATGAGCGGGAAGGACACGGCGCGAGGTGGGGTGGTAAAACTGCCAGCCAGGCGCGTCAGGGGGAAAGCCGAGGAAGACGCATGGAATAGGGCGGGAGAAGAGCTTGTCCGCGCACGTATCGCGAACAAAGGCACGAGAGCCCCAGACCCAGAACACCGACGCATCGCCAACCTTCCCCGTACAACGCAGTGTAGGCAAGGTCTCCGGCAAGGAGACACGGGGCCAGAGGTTGAGCTAATGCGCAGCGTACCGGACCGCAAACGACCACAAAAAATGGGGAGCAGCCGCATGGATCATGGACGTACGAGCGACCTTGATGACTAAGCCAATGCGGCGCTCAGCAATCCCAATTTTCTACGGGGAGGCCGGAAGCGTGAACGACTGGAGGATGCCCTCCCCACGACAAAATTCCCGCAAGAGGTCGGAGGAGAACTCACC